CCAGTATGTCATAACTACTGCACTAAGCATGACGTCATTCTTGGAAAAGTTGCAGTTGAACAGCTCTGTGGGGCCAATCATGGGAATGCCAAACACGTAAGGGACTTCATCACCATGAGCTGAATCAGCCCAGCTTGGTTTCATTTCACTTTGGCAGTGGTGATAAAATGCATAGAAATATGTTGGAGATCCGTACTGGGCATGTAGATCAGCGGTGGCCACAGCAGGAGCAACCCACTGGTGGTCAGTAAAAAGAGCTACCAAGGTCTTCCGTCTTGTTTCAGGGTTTTCTTTGTCTGCCCAGTCAGTATACATGAATTTAATGGTCTCTCGAAGTGTATCTTTCCCTTCTGGATAACCATATAGATTGTCCACGAAATTGGAAACAGAAAAGTCAAAGTCATTGGGGGAAACACCATCTTCATTGTCTACAATGCCATCCACAAATTTTAAACCTTCCCCTTGATTGACGCCCAGCATTATATCATAGTTTAGGAATTCCCCTTGCTCCATGAGAATCTGAGGGTCGTCTGGAATCACGTCTCCATCGATCACGGGCCCAAAGGCAATGTGGTATGTGGCTGGAGTGATAGTCTGTTGAATGAGTTCTTTGTAGTTCTTATTCCGAAGGCATTCAACCAAATCAGTGGTATCTAGCATGTCGCAGCCCACTTTATCTGCCAATATCCGAGTGTACTTGGCAGGCTGATAGTTCACTGCCCAGCTGGACAGGGCTGTTCCACTCTGTATGATTGCTTTTTGGAACAAACCTGCAGGTGCAAATTTTTTAAATGCAAATTGAATTATATTAAAAAAAATAATAAAAGCAGCTTTATCTAAGCAAAGAATGCTTTGATTGTACGATACCTAGAGGCTTCAAGTTTCAATAATTCAATAGAATTTCCATATTCTATTCCATTCACTTTTCCCCTTCTATAGCATCTCCAAGAGCCTACTAATTAAAATCTCTTTTGTTCGTGATTCTCATACACAGAAAGCACGAAGGTTTTAGGCTGCTCTTTCAACACTAAAACTCATGCTTTTAATGTAGCTTTCTTAATGAAAGTCTCCTAGTTTTAGCACATCAGTAGTGCTGTAAAACTTTCTTCTTTAAAGGAGTGGGAGCTACAAGCAACCATATCCTCTTCTCTATGTAAATGACTCTCATAAATGTGCTCCTCAGTAGTTTAAAGGTCAAATGAAAATTACACTCGCTCATTTCCTTCATGGAAGCCGTGCATCACACAATTTGAAAAAATCTCCTGTGTGAAAATCAATTTAATAGGCTTGTGTATTCTGCTCTGACATCATTTTTTCATTACCATCCACATATATGTGTGTGTATATATTTATTTTTTTATTTGGTTAGCAGTGTCTATGTGGTGAGGTAAAATACATTTGTGGGTTTTTTTTTGAAAAGAATAAGACTAAATTCAATGGTCCTTTCTGGTTGTTTTCTATGGATCAAAGATACAAACTGAAGAGCTCTATTTGGCACCATAGTAGTGAAAAGCAAATACTGGTGAACCTGTCCCACCCCTTTTAACTCAGTAGGTTCACTAAAATGGCCTGTTTTATATTTAAATTAAAATACCCATAAGGAAAGGAAAGGAAAGGAAAGGAAAGGAAAGGAAAGGAAAGGAAAGGAAGGGAAGGGAAGGGAAGGGAAGGGAAGGGAAGGGAAGGGAAGGGAAGGGAAGGGAAGGGAAGGGAAGGGAAGGGAAGGGAAGGGAAGGGAAGGGAAGGGAAGGGAAGGGAAGGGAAGGAAAGGAAAGGAAAGGAAAGGAAAGGAAAGGAAAGGAAAGGAAAGGAAAGGAAAGGAAAGGAAAGGAAAGGAAAGGAAAGGAAAGAGAAAAGAAGGATTTAGAGGGGAAAATGTCTTAGGTCGATATACCTTTGTGATGATTACTTACTGTGTACACTACAAAATTTCAGTTCTGCAATTAGTTAAGTATTTCACTGTTCCATCTGTTTGCTTTTGGCATGGCTTACTTAACAGTTATTTAATGCACCCTATTTGTATCAATACACTGAAATGTGAGGGATGATTCTTTATGCTCCCAAAGAAGGTGTTCATACTAGCTCTGCTACAACTGCCTGCAGCAGTTTAGCCTTCTGACATAGATTTCCAGATGTTTAATATAATAAAAGGAGCAGAGGTTTATAAATACAGCAGTTATTTGGTCTTGTCTTTTTTGCAGAGCTGGTCATACCAATAGGAATCTGTATGATTCAGTGCTGCTGATGTATGCATGTGCACTTGTGTATATACATATTTTTTTTTTGAGAGAGAGAGTAGTCCCACAGCTCAGACACTTACCAAAATATTAAGACTTTTGTGTAGGATCACACACTACTTGTGAAATTTTAATTTATTTTTAAATATGATTAAGGGTAAATGATTATAGGTAACAAAAGCATCTAAATACATTTTGGAAGCAGAGACAAAAATGCATAAGAAATGAAAAAGGTCATTGCCCTTTTCCATTTTAATTAGGGCAAACTCTTTAATAGAAGAGTCAGTGGAGAATGTTGATAACACTTGAAAATGTAAATTGCCCATGGCATTTTTTTTGTAAAATCTATGTTACAACAGCCTTTTTTTTCATGTCAAAAACATTTATGTTAAATAATCAGAATGCAGAATACTATCTAGAATGTCTTTTATAAAAATTATAGACTTCACATAATTCTAAGGGCCTACCATTATGTGACCATTTGCATTACTCCATAATGTGAAAAAAAAAAACAGTCACACTAGATTTAAAAAGAATCATTTTATCTTAACCGAATGACTTTGCTCCTAAGATTGTTACCTTCTGAATAGTGAGACAGTGTCAGAAGACTAACGCAGGAAGCTCCTGCCCCAGATCCAAAAATAGTAACTCTTTTTGGGTCGCCTCCAAAGGATCCAATATTTTCTTCAATCCAACGCAAAGCCTGGATTTGGTCAAGCAGTCCATAATTGCCTTTTGCAGCTTGATCCCCAGTACTCAGAAAACCTATACGGCAAAAAAAAGACAAATTTAGCTCACCAGCTACAGAGTTAGCTACAGGGTATCCACATATTCACAACACATATTCCCATCTTTTCATCTTCTGGGCTTCTTTTTTTTTTTTTTAACTTCATTTTTTAAAGGTCATAGTCATAGTTAAATGTCTCCAATGCAAGCAGTGGAATTCATTCTCTATGCTGTTTGGTTCTGGCTTGTTCCTCTTACTGCAGAGGTCAGCTTTTTGGTGTGTGTGTGTGTGTGTTAGTAGTGATTTTTCAAACACACTTTCTCTTTGAAATGACTCTATCTAACAATAGAGATTGAAGATTTTAAATATTTGATAACTGTATGTGAATAATGTAGAAAATTTAATTGTGCAAAGACAACAATCAGGAAGAAGTGGGATAGGAGTTCTTTCAGTAAAGGACAGTGCTTCCTAACATAATTATTTAAATGTCTCTTTCCATGGACTAAAATTATTCTAAACTATGTATAGTTTATACTATAAGCTACAATTATATAAATTATTTACATGAGATATAGATAGTCATTCAGAAATAGAAAACAAAACATGAAGGAAAAATAAAAGGAACAGGAAAAGTCAAAAAAAATGCACTCCAATTTCACAAAGGATATTTATTAGGAAGATAGCAGGTAAAACCACAGTATTTCAGCCTTTGATAGGAAATTTTATCTGCACAAATCAGGCTTCATTTCTTTCTTTGGAAACTGCAAGAAAAGCTGTGCTGCTATGTCTTTTTCCCCACACTGTGCTTATCAGATTTTAGAAAAAAGGCATGACACACTGCTTGTCTTGAAACTCAGAACAAAATGACCAAGAAACTAGGATTGATATTAATTTTGCTTTTCTGCAACCCACTAACCCGAAACATTACCCTTACCCGCTCCACCTATCACTCACAGTCTGGACCTTGTGCTACATCCAAATTACCATGCAGAGACATGTACTTGCACTCCTCTTTTTCACTCCCACAGACCATTTCCCATCATGCAAGTGGAATAAAGAGGTCTATTAGAAATATCTTTCAGTAGATGAACGCCACCGATTTAGGCACCACTGACAACTGCTTATCAAGACGAAGAAAGGAATCACTCATGGGCACTTCCAAGTCAGTGACAATTTCAGATACATTTACCAGAAGAGGGCCCCAGGACTCAGGAGATCTGCAGCCCTGAAAACCCTAGAAGGATGTGAAATGAAAAGATTCATGGTCTGTAATCCTGTAAGGCACCTCACCATGCTGTGAAAACACCTCTGTACTCCCAGGAAGGATTGTGCGGGAAGCCAGAGGCCCCTAGGGAAAAAAGGTCTTGCAGATCTGCTTTAGAGCAGGGAATAGCTGGGTTTTTTTGTTGTTGTTTTGGTGGTTTTTTGAGCTGGCTGTGATTATTTTTTAGTGATGAGGAGAATGAAGATTCATAAGGTTAAAGTCAACAAATGAATGGAAACAGAGGAAATGGAAGAGAAGGAGCAAGAGCAATAGGAGGGAAGCAGAAGAAACCAGAGCTGTCAGACTTTATCACACGTGGACACATGGATTTCTATTTTGCTTTCTATGGCAAAATTCCTCCCATGAGATGCAAATCCAACCTCAGATCACATAACATAAAGACCATACTCAAACTCCAAACTTTACCTTTTAACGGCATAAATTTCTACATGTGAATTTGTTCACGGTTAAATGAAATGTATTATCTTGCACCGCGAAAAAAAAAAAAAAGATCTTTTTCATATTTATTTAGCTATTATTAATAGGTACTTAATGTCACCAAGTGTCTCGCGAGCCCCTGCATTTACCACAAACAGTTGTTTTAATTTGCAGTAGTATGAATCATACCCTAGCTTGATGTAGCTTTCTCATGAAAAAAAATCTCTAATAATACGAACCACAACAGTTAGAAGACCTAGGTAAGTAAAATGTTATTTTGCTTCCATTCAAGTGGTAAAAAAAGCAAACAAACTATTAACGCATAATTGCCCCCCCCCCTTTTTTTTTTTTCCACAGATGTGCTTTTCTCTTTTTCACACACCTTTATTATCTTGTTAGGACTGTCAAAGAAAGAATAACCCACTTGCTAGTTTTGTTGCTTCAATTCACAGCATTGTTCTAAAATATTCTATAATTAAGCCTTTATTCAATCAGAACTATGGCCTCCCTGGGAAAAAGTGACTGTTTTAACCTTTAAAGAAGAGTAGTGATTAAAATTCAGAGCCTGAACACATTTTAGCTCTTCTAGCAGTACCAAGCTAAAGCTGGTTGATCTCTGTGATTTTGAATTCCTTCCAAATGTACTAAAAGGTGACTGAGTGAAACTGCAGTCAATGAATATCTGAAGTTTTTTTTTGTTTGTTTCCACAGTTCTCTACTGTTTCTCATTAATTGTAAAAGCAAATCTTTCTAATTTAAAAGCTAGTCATCAAATTGAAGTGTCAGCTCCACATGATACAAAATGAATTCCTAAATCTTTTTTTCTTGATAAGGATGTGTTCATGCTCTGAATATCATATCAAAATATTTCTTCAAAGACATTTTAAGATATTCAGTCAAGGAGTAACTATTTGTCCAGAAATACATGACCCCAGCAGAATGTTTTGTGTGTGTGGCCGCCATGAAGATTTAGCAGCAGTATGTTTGTGTGTAACTCTAAAATCCTAAGAACAAAAATAAATGCAGCTTTGTTTTGAAATGGGGATTTATCCTTTGTGACCATTAGGTATGTAATTTAAGTGCAGTAAAAAATATTTGCAGTTTTACTATTTGAAGGCAAGTGAGTGATCCAAAAATCCCTCAACCAGGATTTAACCAGAATCTGAAAGTACTTGTCACTATTCTTAAAGAAAAAAAAAAAAAAAAAGGGAATTATAATAGTTGAATACAGAACACAAAGGGTTTTCTTCTACATAATGACACAGAAAGGCATCAACTGTGATATTCACTTCTTGACTTTATGAAAATTCCTCCCATAAATTTTAAGTTGCAGGGGTGTCCGCATGTCTCCCTTTGCAAAATAACAGCAGATAAACAGGGACAGGTACACAGTCCTAGTGTGTACATGGAAGATGCACAACTGGGAGGGCATCTGCTCCAGACTGAAAATGCTGAAGGGCAAGATGCCCATCAGTTGGAGTGAAGAGGAGCCAGGAAATTAGAGATTGCAGAGAAGCTGTCTGCAAGCAAAGAAAAATCCACTCAAAAAGACATGCAAAAATGCATGACACTTTGTAGCAATGGTGAGAGGAAAGTGGGAACAGGGCAGCAGCCAAATGGGGCTGGACACTGAGAAGTTGCCCTGGTGTCATGATCACCATCCAGGCTGGGCAGAGCATCACCCAGTGGGGCACCTGCACCAAGTGGTGGGTGACCAGATGGAGTAGCGTGTGGGCACTCATGCCAGGATTGCAAGGGGGCTCATATACAGCTGAGGGCCCATGGGTACCATGGGGGAATCTGTGCTCCCTGGGGTGCTGGTGACTGGCACAGCTGGGGAGCACCCAGGTGCACATCTGTATGCATGTGCATGAGTGGGTGCATAGGTGTATGGGGCGCGATTAAACATTTGGGGGATTAATTATACAAGACTGTTCAGAAATTTTTAACTGTTTACCATCTTTTGGTAAGAGCCTCATATGGTGGTTTATCTGCTGTATCACTGATTTATCTGATATATCACTGATTGCCACTTAATTAAGTGTCATTAAGAAATTGATAAACTGCTTTTATCCTGATTTGATTTAAACAAAGTGAATCTAGCAATTTTTCTTATGGTTTTAGTTTATTAAAACAAATATATCATTTTATGACAATAAAAAGGAGTTTTTGATTTATATTGCTATGTGACTTGAAATTAGCATTGCCAGTAAGGCTTCTTCAAAATGACTTTTCTGAAGTAAAAAAATAAATAAATAAATCTCTGGTTCTAGTAATGGAAGCATTCAAGATGAAAGTTTTACCTTTAACCAAATACAGTGAAAAGGGAAGAAGACTGTAAGTGGAAATTACCGGGAATTTTCCTTTTCCATAGCCTTTAAAAATGAACAGACTCTCAAGTCACACACTGTCATTTGTACTGTTTCAATAACACAGTGAAGACAGAGCTACACAAATAGCTCTTCTTACACAAGTGGAAATTTCCAACTCAGCTCTATAGCTGATTTTCCTCTTTGCCACTGGAATCTTACTAAGACACTAAAAACCAAACAAGTGGTGATATCTCCCCTGTACAATGAGGACAACTAAAAAGTTATGGGGTAAAACAGGAGTGGACCTACAGTAAGATCCAGTCAGTGCCAATCCAAAACTCCCATAAGCCACTCAAGTTGTTTTACTGCTCTCCATCTCTCACCTTGTCTCATATTTGGGGGTTACGTCTGCACTAGCAGGCACTGCAAAACCATAGAGGTGGGTCTGCAGAGGAGAAAAGTTGCTGTGAGAACATTATGCACATTCTCTGTATATTCCAGAGTTCTTTATTTGCTCATTTTGTTTTTTCCTTTGGACTAGCGGTTATCTGGTCCCAAGGACTGACTCCTAGCAGGAGGGTGAGTGTATACGTGATGAAGGTTTATCTGGAAGGAATCTAACTTGCACCCTGTGGGATCATTCTGTAATATGAGCCAATGTACAAGAAGTGGGGATGGTTTGGAGTTTTCCTATGAAAGTGCATGCCTGATCTGAACTGAAACATTACTGTGGACACACAGAAAGTCAAAATGATAATCAGATCAGAATCTGATAGGACTAGAGGAAATGGCCACAAACTGAAGCAACAAAAGTTCCACAGCAACTTAGGGAAAAATTTCTTATGAGTGAGGGTGACAGAGCACTGGAACAGGTTGCCAAGAAATGTTGTGTAGTCTCCTTCTCTAAAGATCTTCAAAATCCACTTAGACACAGTCCTGAACCACATGCTGTTGGTGACCCTGTGTGTGCAGAGGGGTTTGACTAGGTGATCTCTAAAGGTCCCTTCCAACCTTAAGGATTCTA